TTTATTTATAATTAATAATAATAATAATTAATATTAATCAGGGTTTTAAAAAACTTTCCATAAGCTATTCAAAGTAGTTTATCCATAAGCTATTTTATAAATTAATTTATGCTTATCAAACGATATCTTAACATAGAAAAACACAAGGTTTTAATCCATTAGGTTACAAGATTTTCGGACATTACGATGTATATGACAACAAAAACCATTATTCAATTTTGTCGTCTACCCCTTTGATTAAATCTTGTTCCAACCGGACGATTAATGCAATCAACTCGTATTTTGTCCATAACTACTTCCCTTCATATTCAACCAAACTCTATATATTTAATCACTTCTTGGCAATCAATTTTTTTAATTCAACCAAAAAATATATATATTTATTTATTCTCAATTAAATATGATTCTTGTAGAGAACTTTGTGAAATAGGCGTGTGTAACAGCTTGTGAAATCTTCCTAGCGGCTAATGATCCAACATAACCATATTTTATTAATAAAAAGTACATTTTGCAAGTTGCAAAATTGATTTTTACGAAATCTTGGTTATTTTGGTCAAATATAAAAAAATAGGCGAAAAAAGTGAAGAGGTTCTTACAGTCGATGACGGTGATGGGGTTGGGCTGAAGGTGTTAGAGATTGCGGCAGGGGAAGAGGGTATCGACGAGGGGGAGAGGGGAGTGAGGATGAACTCGTTAGTGTTAGGTTTTTTTTTTTTTTAAAATTTGTAAATGTATTTGATGTCTAGGTTGCTGGTTAATTTTTTTTTGTGATAAAAATGTATCTAACAAGTTTTAGAAAGTCTAATGAGTTATTTAACATGTTTTGGGATGTTTAAGTACTTATTCGATCCAAAAAATTGTCCAAGAACTTAATTATTCAAAACTCTAAAGTCCATTAAGTTTTTTTGTATTTTCCCTCTTTTTTAAATGAAAAAAAAACGTTATCTATGGTCTCAAAGTCGATTTTTTTTGTAACATTGATTATTTTGACCGTAAAATCTTTTACTTGTGAGATGTCTTTTTAAAAATTACAGGGCAAGTTATGTTTTAGTCCTTGTGGTTTGTTAAAAAAATTTGTTTTTGTTCTTAACGTTTTTTAGTTACAATTTTCATCCCCGTCGTTTATAGTTTACTAGAAGAGTACTCGCGCAATGCAACGAGATACATCTTGATTTTAATATTTATCTCAATCGATGTTATAATATGATCTTATGTGATTTTGAAAAAGCGATGATGTTTGTATTTTTAAATAAAATATAAATTTGAAGATATCATAAAAATTTGACAAAATTATATCGATATTAGTATCAAATTAACTATTTAAAATTTCTCAATTTTTGTGTAATTTTTTAATTCAATTTTTTTTTAATTATAATTTAATTTAAGTTCAATAACGAATTAGTTTATATTTGGTTTAGTAATATAATTTTCTTATAAAGATAATAGTTAATTTTTTTGTTAGAACTCGATAATTATCCTAATTATATTTTATATTTTAAAATGAGATGTTTATCTTCTATCTGATTATGTTTATCCGCAGTTAGTTATACGAATTCAAAGATGAAGTTTTAATAAGTTGTACTTATGCATAATTTACTTGTAATCTTAAATTTTAAGTAATATGTATCAATATACAGTACTTTATGCATAAAAAATGGTTTTTAAGAGTTTTTGTCAAATGATTTATAATATAGTATAAATTACCTTTTTTTAAATATCATATTTAAGAATTTACTTAATTTAGAAATTATTTATGCTATTTCCTAATACATATGTTTCCAAAATAAACATGTCTCAACTTATAAACCATTTAATAGACATATTTTAAACAATAGATTTTTTAATTGTTTTTTTTTCATTAAAAAAAAGACTTTTATAATGAATAACCATGTTTTTAATTAAATTTGATAAAACATAATAATAAAACTTTTTTTAAAATTATATAATGTTTATGTACGATAAATAGAACAAATAAACTTACACAACCTTCTCACATAATAATAAAACTTGACTTTTATAAACTGATAAATTCATATATTCCTATTTTAATTTTAGGTTATACTGATCAAACTAGCTGATACGTTAGATGTTGCATTACAATAAAATCATGTTTATGAGACACCATAATTCTATAATCTATATTATATCCTTAAAAACCATTTTTTATGCATGAAATACTGTTTATTGATGCATGTTACTTAAAATTCAAAATTACAAGTAAATTATGCTTAAGTGCAACTCATTAAAGCTTCATGTTTAAATTCGTGTAACTAACTATAGATAAACATAATCAAATAAGGGATAAACATCTCATTCAGAATATAAAAATATAAAATATAATTAAGATAATCATTAATTATAACAAAATACTTAA